AATCTTAAAAATTAAGTGCCCTTCTTATAAAATAATACTAAATGAGTCAAACCACGTCAAGTGGGACCAGAAAATTTCACGAAATCACCGATTTTGAAAATAATCACATTATTGTGTAGTAGGCATGACTCATATGTCACAGTAAAAAAATTGTTTTAAAATTCGTTTTTTTGGTAATGTTATTAAGGTTGACAATTTTGTCAAACTTTAGAGCACGGTAAAATTGAAAAAATAAAATCTCTGGGACCACTCTGTATATTTGAATTAAATTTTACACACTATTGTAGAAATGTTTAGAGTATATAATGATAATTTAATTAAGGTTAATTTGTTTAAATAAAAGAATTTTGCATACATTTATTATAAACAATTGAAATTTTGTATGTGTTCTTCACGCTGAAAAAAAATTAATCTTGTGTCATAATATGCGGCAAACGTTTCCGTTTAATAAGATGTACTCAAAAATTTGCCTTTCATATGTCATTCCGGAGATATTAATTTTTTGTCCCGCTGTGCGCTTGATCAGTACGCGGCGCGCTTCGCTGCTAGCTCGTCAGCACACGGTGTGCCTGAACGAAGTTTAAGTCATATAAAAATTCCGCAGTTTCTTGTTCGGGACTCTTTGGTGACTTAAAAATGATAATTACCAAAATCCTAGCTGCTCCTCTTTTCGAAATTTTTTGAAAAATCTTTTTTATGCATTATGCTTTTTACTATATAAAAAAGTGATTTTTGTCTAACCCTGTATAAATCTAAGCATATATATAAAAACAGTTTCTCTCGTTTACAATATCGGTGTACAAATGTGTACTCTGGCAAAGGTAGACTTTGCGATAAACAAATAATTTTAAAAAAATTGAATTTTTTAGAAATTAAAAAAAAAACAGTTAGAATTTTGGTAAATATATTTTTTAACTTCAACCAATTTTTCGTTCAAAATTGAAAACTACTCAAAAGCCTAAATTAAACAACATTTTAAATACTCTCTAAGCGTTATTTTATTAAATGTTATTACAAATCTAGTTTTCTTGTAAAAGGTTAATAATAATGCCATTTTGTAACCTGATAGACCTAGAAATATCTAAAAAAAATTGGGAATAAATATTTTTCGCGTGTTATGCTAAAATCATGAATTTACGCTTTTGCATTATTAAAAATAAGTGATTTTTGGCTAACCCTGTATATATCAAATGATGTGAACAGTATTAAAAAATATTCTCTAATAGTCTCCTAAATAATATACTCCAATTTTATAAAAATCCGTGTGCAAATGTGTACTCTGTCAAAGAGATAAACAAAAATTTAAAAAAAAATCATGAATTTTCGAACAATTTCGAAAAGGGGAGCAGCTAGAACTTTGGTAAATATAATTTTTAAGTCAACGGCATTTTTATGTGACTTAAACTTCGTTCAGGCACACAGTTAAACCGTTCGAACGGACGAGCTAGCAGCGAAGCGTGCCGCGTACTGATCAAGCGCACAGCGGGACAAAAAAATTAATATCTCCAGAATGACATATGAAAGGCAAATTTTGAGTACATCTTATTAAACGGAAACGTTTGCCGCATATTATGACACAAGATTAATTTTTTTTCAGCGTGAAGAACACATACAAAATTTCAATTGTTTATAATAAATGTATGCAAAATTCTTTTATTTAAACAAATTAACCTTAATTAAATGATCATTATATACTCTAAGCATTTCTACAATAGTGTGTAAAATTTAATTCAATTATACAGAGTGGTCCCAGAGATTCTATTTTTTCAATTTTACCGTGCTCTAAAGTTTGACAAAATTGTCAACCTTAATAACATTACCAAAAAAACGAATTTTAAAACAATTTTTTTACTGTGACATATGAGTCATGCCTACTACACAATAATGTGATTATTTTCAAAATCGGTGATTTCGTGAAATTTTCTGGTCCCACTTGACGTGGTTTGACATTTATGTAATAGCTATTTGTGTATTAAGAGCGCAAAGTGATATATTGTCGCTCTGAGCGAGAAGTTTTCTATCTATCTCGCGAGAGCGGCTTTGTCCATTTGCGCTCGAATTACACACAAGATTTTTTCTACAACCGGTGTTTTTATAAAAATGTTTGGTAATAATTAATAATTATTTATAACCTCAAATTTGACTTTTGTGTCAAAAGTCGCAGTGTATACTAGACGTTTCGTTCTTTATAATCTGTGGTTTCGTTATTATGGTTTCCATGGTAACTAAGCGAGCGTTATAGAAAAAAATATTTTAATTTCTCAATACAAAAATACAAAAGTATTAAATAGTTTCTTAACGCCAATACTTCAAAAGTTGATATGAACATTGTACTTATATTTTAATTTCATCGGCAGTAAACTAGACTTAACTTAATTTCGGGTGGAGACTCCACCGTGGACCAAGTAGCATTTCGACCACGTGCTGAAGTTAGATTTAGGTTAAAGTTGCTTGACATCTGTCAGATTTTGGATAAAATGTAAAATAAAATTGGATTTAAATTCTAGCTGAACAATACAGGAGGTTCCACTCGCTTGTTACCGCACTTGCCAAGCTCGAGGAATCTCCTCTTTCTCCCACTAGTCGCACAATATAGGTACCATTATTCAACTCCCATTTAATTTTTTAATTAATACTACCTAATTGACAGCTATCAGATGTCAGATAAAATATCAAATAAAATTGGCTTTAAATTCTTTGCGATTATTGAATAAAATATTGAGTGCGATCATTGTTCAAAAGAGAAGATTCCAATGACATGTTACCTAACAACAGAAATAATGAAATTATTCACGTTTTTAGGCCATATTGAAAAAAAGTAATGTTGGAACTGACTATCAAATGTAAGATACGAGGGACGACTATAATGATTTTAAAAATCAAGAGAGCGTTATGTTATAATAAATGTTGTCATTAATAAAATCTACTTAATTGAATCAGAAAATATCAAACTCGGAATAAGGCGCATTATTTAATCTGATGGTTTATGTCTCTCGCCTAGCGGCTCGAAGCGCAAATTTTATCTTTGTAAATAATAGCCAGCTTTATATTTCATATAATAATATACAATAATTGTTACCAAACAAACATTTGTTCGAAATTTACTAAACTTAATAGGTAAAGGTATAAAAAATTTCAATTTTTTAAATTACAAGGGTTTAAAAATTAATTTTATTTTTAAAATTGCACTTTTGATGCCTTTTGGGATTTTTATTAATTTAAGCGTTTTTATACATCCTTGAGCGAAGCATAAACAAAAATTCAGTCGTACCAACACAATTAAAGTTGCCTTTCGCGTTTACAGCTGATGTTTTTGCTGTACATGCGAAAGTTGAGTGGGCTGCTTTCCCCAAACATCCGCCATTTTAATTACATTAAAAAATTGTGTTCAATCCTTTTACATAAATAATTAAAAACCATTTGTGAGAAAAAAAATTATACTTACTTAAAATTGCTTGGAATGGTTAGTGCGCCATTTTCGGGATACCCTGTATAATACAAACTTTGTATTATACAGGGTGTAAAAATCTGCCATTTTTGTATTACATATTTGGCAGTTTTTACACTTACCGTTACAATGTTAAGTTACAATGTTAAGTTCAGATGGATGGTTTAATACTGATTGTCAAATGCAACGTTGCCAAATAAACTAAAGCGACGTTGTCATTTTTTCAAATCGCAGTGTTGGCAAAAATCTATATTTTAGAGAAAACCTAGGTACCTACTTCAGTTTTGTTTTGTTGACTGAAGAGATAGGTCGCTTGATGAAAGAGTATTGAAACATAAATGACTTGAGGGGACAACATAAAACTCCCAGCACAAAAATGCGCTGGTCAGTACCATTTATACAAAATCTACAATAGATTAATTGATTCCCGAATGGTTTCCACGATGGATAAATAATTAAAGAAAATCTGTGCACACAGCCATTCGCCATGGTACATGATTGGAATGAATTAAAAGATGAAGTTGAACAATAAAAAATATACATGAAAAACAAACTGAAAAAGTATATAGATGATCGTAAAAGTGTAAAAATGTTGTTGTGTGATGATAATTATCATTATATATATATCATTATCATAATTATAATTGGACGGCTTTCTGCAGAATGGGACCAACCCACACCATGATGAAACTGAGAAAAAAGCTATCAAAGATTTTAATAATTTTAAAATTACCTGTTAATTTTATGCCGATTTTGGACTTACGGAGGTTTAAGGGATATAATTTAATAATTTCATCAGGTGGATTTTGTGATGTTATATGTAAGGGTGACCAAAAAAATGGGCTTTTGTTGGTTGGTTCCTTTCTGCAATTTATGAAAACTACTATCTGATGTATGTATGTATTTAAAGAAAAGCGACAATTATTTATTTCCAAACAAAATACAACTGATATTACCATTATAATGGTAATATGAATTAATTTTGATTCTATTTGAAATTCGTTCACATCATCTAGTGGGTCTACCAGCCTGCTTTTTTACAAAAAAGATCCAACCCACTTGCAGATATTCTACAGATTCTAATTCTGGATTAGTAATCCACACTATTATTGAATGTTGGTTGGTCAAATGATTAATAGATTTCACTACACTTGCATTTTGGCTATGACCTATTTTGCAGATAAATTATACACACTTAATTAGTTCATAGGCTAAATATCTAGATTTTTTTGGTTTTGTGGGTTGGTTCCTTTCTGCAGAAAGGCGTCCAATTTTGGACAATGTTAAATGTATTGTAAATATTGAAGTGATACAGTAAAAATGGTGAAAGAAATTAGACATGAAATAATATTAAAACTATGAAAAATAATAATATAAAAAGGGATGAGTTGTACTTGTACTTTTCTCTTAATTAAGACCCTTGATTATATTAAATTTTAAAAATCATAACGACCTAGCCAAATAGCTTTTAATTAAGCTAAAGGCCATAACCCCTGAACACAGTGCGTCCGTGTTTAGATTGAAGAAGAAGAAGAATAACCTAGGTACTTACGTTGGAAGAGTGGTGGTTGTGCGTTGGGGTGTTGTGCAGTGAAGATGTTTGCGCGTCCCCCCGCTGGTGGTGCTGGGGGGAGTTGTGCGCCGTCGAGGGTGGGGTCGGTGTGGAGGATCGCTGTCGCAGTCGGGCTAAGGCTGTTCTCAACCCCTCCGTTATAGAGCCGCTGTGCGAGCTTGAGCCGAGAACGACGCCGCCGATGTCGGCCGAGCGGATGTCGGCTCCGACGCCGCACGCGACTCGACTGGATGATCTGGTGCCGCCGATGCCGAAGAAGCCGTCGCTGCTGCAAAAAAGAAAATGATTTTAATACCTTTTTTCCCAGAAGTTGTCACGATTTAAAAGGATCCTGTCATGTTTAATTTAATTTTATCATTTTTGGAACTAGTGTAATCGCCTAATTTTAATCGTTTTAACCCAGTAGTGTAATCGCCGCCTGCGCACGGTTAGGTTTAAATTGTTGACGCAAGTCGGCGTAAATGTCTCGTTCTTTCTGTTTGATTCATCACCCCATACGCATGTTGGAGAATATCCTGGGTAAGAAAGTTTGAATTTTATCAATATTAATGTTAAAGTATTATCTTTTTTAAGGCTATACCTTATTGCTGAGTAATTTTTACATTGAATGTGAATGTAATTTTTACATTGAATGTGAATACTTTCATACCTATATTCCGGATTTTGTTACTTGAAACGTGCTGCGCAATTAGCCATTGTGGTAGCGATTTTTTTGTACGGCGTACCCACGCCGTGAAGTTTTTTATAGTAACGAATTATTTGGCAATACCCAAGTTGGACAATATTGAGGAATTTGCAAATATTATCAAGAGTTAATCAAGAATTATTCAAAAAACTCCGGCAAAAGTTGGGCAAGTATTCTAATTGAGGTTAACAAAACTGCATGGATCTGATTCGGAATCCACTGTCCAGTTTGACAAGCAGATCGACCAGCAAGGAATAGAATATCCAACGTATGCTAAGGTGATGTACTCTTTTTAATACTATTTAACATCGAAGACTTCTTGTAGTTCATCAAACTCTTGGATTATACACCTACCAAATTGTTTTGTTATTAATTTTTTTTTAAAATATTTCTGTATTTTATAATTCTGCAGTACTTAATCCATCAGATTGTTTTACTATTTAACTTGTTAAACATTATTATTATAAGTATCGTGTAAACCTTTGTTTTCAAGTACGCAATCCTTTAGATTGTTTTACTATTTAATTATTATGGACATATCATGCCAACTTGTTGTATTTAGTATTTAATTCTTAGTGATAAATAACACATTTAAACATTTCCTTATTTGTTACAATCGAGTGCTAAAAGAGTTTTAAAATAGATATTTTTTTAACTGGGGAAAAAAATTTAATTTTTTTTGTCAATTTATCTTTCAGAGTATAATATAGTTAAATATTTTTAATTATTTAATTACTGCAGTTAGCCAAAGAAAGAACACCCAATAATTTTCTCATTTTGTCTTCGTCTGAGCTAAAAGGTGCGTGTAATGTGTCATTTTAAAGATTTAAGTTATTCCAACAACTAAATCGAAATTTACCAACTAGTAGAGCACTTTACGTTACAAAGTACCACAAAATTCTAAATAAAACGCTTGTGGTTTGTTATTTTTATTATCGCCTTCAAAGTAATCTTAATTAGAGGCAGAAGACCTATAGCACTCCCAAGCAGCATTTTAAGTTTAAATAACTACAAACTTACTACTAAGTCAACTTTAAAGTATTTTTTACGGTTAACCAAAACGGTTTTATAACGGTATAGATATGAAAAATTACCAAATTTGGGGAATGGTTTATTTCGTTATTTTACCTACATAATAACCTTTTTGATCTACTAAGAGAATAACGTAATAAAAACAATATAAATATCACAAATTTACGTAAAAATAACGCTATAATTACTAACTGTTTGCTCTCTCTTTCTTAAACATTGACATTCGTTATTTCTTTGTTCTTTTAATTTATATTTTACAACATGGTACTTACAAAGTAATAAAGGCCACCCAAGAGTAAAATTAAAAAATACAACTCAATTTGTCAAAACTAATATTATTTTGCATTAAAACTTAAACGCGCATTATTTTATTGATAAAAATACCCACGATACATCTTAAAAATTATATGGTTTTAAGAAAAAATATTGCTTGGGTAAAAATTCAACAAAACTTAAAACCTACAAAATTTTATAAAATCTTTTAAAAATCATTTAGTTTTAATCATTTTTTAATAACTAAAACTTGTCTTATTATATTTTAGAAAAATATTTATGAAAAAAATATTATATAAATGTTTAGTTAGATAAGTAATGGATGCCATCTTGAAAAAAATGTTTCCTTAAAGTTTTATTTTTTACTTTAAGCTTATTTTTCCTTGTTTAGTCAATATTAATAGTATTTATTACCACTAATAACCCTAAAAAATACCAGGCGAATAGGAATTATTTACGGTTATAAAGTGGTTTTAATATCATAAAATTATGACTTATAAGTAACATTTACCATTAAGTAAAAATTCTGATGTTAAATTTTCCTTTAGGTGAAATACAATTATAAATAATTTTCTTTCGTAAAAATTACGTCCATCATAATACTTTAAAGTGTTGAGACTTAAAGGTTATTAAAATAGAAAAAATAACATAAATAAAACTTAATAAATAACTTTAAAGGTAGTTTTACTTCTAAGTAAATTTTTAAGGTAAATTTAACAAAATATTTACTTAAATTAGGTAATATAGCCTCAAAGCTCTACGCTTTTACTTAAAATGCTGCTTGGGCTGTTATAAAAATCAGATTTGTTAACTTGAGTTTGTAGTTTGTTAATTTTATTTTGCAAAATTCTAACATAGTTTTCTGTAGAAAACCAGGGTTTGTAATTATTTTAACAGAAGAAAATATTTTATATTTTAAGTTTTGTAAAGGTAATAGGCAATTTTGTAATCATTTTGTTAATTTTAAATGTTACAGATAAATGTTTAACAAATTATTTCATTGAAAAAGTACACGTGATTTCACCCAGTGGCGTAACTACCACCGGACCTACCCCCAGAAGTGGCAAGAGATTTTTTTTTATTTAAATATAAGAAAAATGTTCAATAGGAAAAAATTTTGTTTTTTTTTAGTAATAAATATTTGTTGCCTACTTAATATTATATTTCTATTGTGTTCTTTTTTTTTCAAATTTCTGAACTCAAAATTGGGAATTAAATATTTTGAAATAAATAAACATAGGTTAATTGTAAATTTAAAATTACAAATCTAGAATCATAAACTCGAAATCGAATACTTCACATCGAAAGTCTGAAATTTTGAATAGGAAATATACATTCTTAGTCAAAAATAGAAATTCAGAGATGAAAAAATAAAAAAGAAAAATTTGCAATCTAAAATAGGAAATTTTCGATTTCACCTTTACAATTTTGGATAAAAAAATCAAGATTCAAACTCTCAAATTCGAAATCTTATTTATAATATATAGCATGAATAGTAGTACCATAAATTAATATAGCATACATATTAGGGTGGCCCAAAAAAAAAGAATATTTTTTTTCTTCTCGTCTCTTGTGAAAATATGTTGGTTTGTCATGTTTTAAGAGCCCTGTCAAAAGATCAGCACCATTAAAAATTTTTTAGGGGTCGCTCAAGATTTTTAAAAATTACCAAAATCGTCAAAAATTGGATTTTTTTTTATTTTAATTTTTTTTCTCGTTCCGATATTATTTTTTAATTTAAAAATAATAATGATTCTGAAAATTTCAAATCGATATTTTAATTTCTAAAGGTCGCTCAAGATTTTTTTACCTTTCAAAGTAGAGTATTTTGAATGTTTTCGAGAGACCTCTGAATATAAATATCAACGAACTTTTAGCGACCTTTAGAAATCAAAATATTGATTTGAAATTTACAGAATTTTAATTATTATCAACCAAAAAAATAATATCGAGACGAGAAAAAGAATTAAAATAAAACAAAAATTCAATTTTTGACGATTTTGAAAATTTTTAAAAATCTTGAGCGACCCCTACAAAATTTTTAATCGAGCTGATATTTTGACAGGGCTCTTAAAACACGACAAACCAACATATTTTCTCAAGAGACGGAAAGAAAAAAAATATTCTTTTTTTTTGGGCCACCCTAATACATATATATATATATATAATATTATTGTGGATTGTGGGCCGGGGGGGGGGTTTGAAGTGAGAAAAGTTTAAATGATTAAAAAAAAATTTCTGGTAAGGGCCTCCTAGTGAAAATCCGACTGGGGCCCCCATTTCTATAGTTACGCCACTGCCAATGACAATTATTGTATTATTATACGCATCAACAAGTTCAACTGACTTTAGCGTCTGCAACTTATGTTTCTGCTTATTTTATTTTAATTTGTAACGTGTTCGTAATAACTGTCCTGAGTATTCATAATATATTACCAGAAATTTGTTATTATGTTTATTTGGATTCCTTATACATATTTAACGAGTGCGAAGTATCAGAAAAAAGATGCCATCACCGGTTTATCAATATCCAGTTAAGTGTATTTACTGGTGCCTAAATAAAATTAAAGTGGTAGCTAAAATGTTTATTAATATCCAACTAACTTTTACTAAGAACTTAAATTAATATAACTGGAAGTATATTTAACTTAACGCTGCATGTGTCAGATAACAATCATATACGGAATATATTGCAAAAATCTAACAAAATCTTTTTGGTCGTTTGTTCAAAGTAAAAAATGGTGTACTAGAATACCTAATAGTATGCATTATAATGGAAACTCAACCACCAATCCTAAAGATATTGTAAATATATTTATTTGATATCTATATATATAAAAATATTTTTCAAGTCTATATCAATTACCGAATTTAAATAATGTTGACGAACAGTTTTGTTCAATAAATTATATTAAAGTGGATCCAATAACTGAAACTGAAATTTTAAATGCAGTAAAAAAGCTAAGCAACAAGTTTACTAGCGGAGTTGATTATATTCCAAGCTTTCTTGCTAAGCAGTGGCGGATTTACAAATTTTCAAGGTATAGGCTGAATAGTTTTTGCCGCCCTTGCCTCAACAATTGTCATATCATACATTATTTTAACAATGCAATAAAAATAATTTTTCGGTATAAGCTCGCCACGTGCACGTGCAACATTGACGTCATTGATAACATTGTAGCATTAAAAAAATACCGCGTTCGGGGAAAAAATATTTTTTTGACTTAAGACTATCTCGCTATTACTGTTCAAGATTTTTTTTG